AGGTCGCCACTGGATTTTGTATATGCTAGTGTTTAGTTATTTAGCTTCTGAAATCACTCCGTAAAGGATAAGTCTTTTAGGCCGGTACTTTTTTTATTAATACATAAAAAAAAGAAAACTAATTAAGGATGTCCTTTGATGATGTCAAACTATCGTTAAATTCTCGTCCAACATTCCTGATGATGTAATGTCACTATATTCAAAAATGACCCAATAGTTTAATAAATAACAATAAAAAATCATTATTTAAAAAAAAAATCATTATTTAAAAATGACGGTTCTTAAAGCTGCATTTAATATTGCTTAGATAAAGCTGTTTTTTATCACCAGATGTACTGGTACAAGTCTCTTTTGACATTATTGATTATTAGATCTCAGACAAAGAAAAAAGAGTTGCCTCGAATTAATCAATTGGTCTTGGTCAGCTGAGAGGAGCGCGTTGTTGGCGGTCACGGTATCGTAGGTGGCCATAACGTATTTCAGAGGAACACTTTTTTTCCAGAAAGAATGCGATGAAAGTTATAGAACACAAGCAGAGACGGCAACCCCCAACATCGAAATTATGTCTCTAGTCTCAAAGCTAAAAATCAATATTGTTTTACTATCGATGATAGAAAGAAAAATAAAAGGGAAACAGAAGAACTCAAACTCGCATAACACAGTACGTTAATAAAACGAGATTGAAAGTTTCATTATAAAAGTTATATGTACTCTCCAAATGTGTACAAGCTTAAAAATTAAATAAAAATTAAAAAAACAAAGTTTCACCACTGACATTAAGTTTCTTACGTATTTTTTTTACTTGTGACGTCACTAACTATGTATGACATTAATAACTAAAGCATGTAGAAAATGTAGAAAATGCACCACAAAGCAGTCTGAGTATGTGAGGGTGTTATTACACTGCAAAGCAGTCTGCGTAGGTGACGGTGTTATTACACCGCGCAGCAGCCTGAGTATATGACGGTGTTATTACACCGCACAGCAGTCTGAGCATATGAGGTGTTATTACACCGCACAGCAGCCTGAGTATATGAGGTGTTATTACACCGCACAGCAGCATGAGTATATGAGGTGTTATTACACCGCACAGCAGCCTGAGTATATGAGGGGTTATTACACCGCACAGCAGCATGAGTATATGACGGTGTTATAACACCGCACAGCAGCATGAGTATATGACGGTGTTACAACACCGCACATCAGCTTGAGTATATGACGGTGTTATTACACCGCACAGCAGCCTGAGCATATGAGGTGTTATTACACCGCACAGCAGCCTGAGTATATGAGGGGTTATTACACCGCACAGCAGCATGAGTATATGAGGAGTTATTACACCGCACAGCAGCATGAGTATATGACGGTGTTATAACACCGCACAGCAGCCTGAGTATATGACGGTGTCATAACACCGCACAGCAGCCTGAGTATATGGCGGTGTTATTACACCGCACAGCAGCATGAGTATATGAGGTGTTATTACACCGCACAGCAGCATCAGTATATGAGGTGTTATTCCACCGCACAGCAGCCTGAGTATATGACGGTGTTATAACACCGCCCAGCAGCCTGAGTATATGACGGTGTTATTACACGCACAGCAGCCTGAGTATATGACGGTGTTATTCCACGCACAGCAGCCCGAGTATATGACGGTGTTATTACACCGCACAGCAGCCTGTATATATGACGGTGTTATTACACCGCACAGCAGCTTGAGTATATGAGGTGTTATAACACCGCACAGCAGCCTGAGTATATGACGGTGTTATAAAACCGCACAGCAGCCTGAGTATATGAGGTGTTATTACACCGCACAGCAGCATCAGTATATGAGGTGTTATTCCACCGCACAGCAGCATGAGTATATGAGGTGTTATTACCCCGCACAGCAGCCTGAGTATATGACGGTGTTATTACACCGCACAGCAGCCTTAGTATATGACGGTGTTATTAAACCGCACTGCAGCCTGAGTATATGAGCTAGAACTATACCTGTATTATCAAGTATATTTTTAAAGTAGAATGCTCAGCTCCACTTCTTACTGAAACCATTCAGAAATTCCATAATCTTAAACTTAAATTTATATAATCAAAATACATCCGATTCAGTCGATACTAATTACGAATCTAGTCGTTACTCGAGTTCATTTAATTAATCTTACAAAATGTAATTTGGGAGAATTCAATTGTGTATAATTCGTATCAGTATGTAGAATACAATTACTGTCTATCAAAATACGTCATTAAGAACTCACAAGTTCATTAACGATGACAATTAAGAATATTTGGTTTTACATTGATTAAAGAATGAAGCTCAGGCTTATATACATGTTAATAAGATGAATGGACACGAAGCACACTTAATTGGTGCTCCGTTTCTACTCTAAATCAGTAGGATTTAGTGAGTTAAACAAACACAGTGTTTCATTGTGTACATGTATACATAAATGATTTTTGTTCTCTATAAATAAGAATGATGCTTAGATGTGCTGATATAATACGTATGTATCATGATTCGTTATTGCTTGTATTAAATACAGTTGTTTTGTATATCTATCTATCTAGATATTCTGCAACACCTCTTTAGAGTATTATGTGCAGCGTGCATGTTAAAAGGTATTGCGTGGTGACCGAAATAGAAATGATAAAGTGCTGACTGGTGCATGCAAAAGGGAGAGAGAGAGAGAGAGAGATAGAGAGAGAGAAAGAGAGAGAGAGAGAGAGAGAGAGAGAGGAAAGAAAGAAAAGTGTGATGAGAGAGTATTTGGTGCTAAAGAATGGCTATAAGTTTAGACCTACGACTGCCCATACAAGGGCATATTTTATGGAACCTCTACGGATGTTGATAGCTCCTGTTGTACAAAATAGTGGATCTATTATGGACTTTGGGTCGGGGTGTGAAGGAGGGGGGCTGATAACAAACAATTGAAGATTGTTTACCTAATATATAGTAACATAAACTCCAACTGAGCTGTATTAGGAAAGAGTTCTGATTCGGTGTTGGTCATATCAACACTGGCCACCTTTAGGAACACGTTCCCATACAGAGCCAGAAATAGTGTATTCGGTTAGGTGAACTATGATGACTGGGGAAAGGGGTGAAGGGGACGGGGGAGGGTGAAGTTAAATACACGCTGGCATAATATATATGGCCTAACAAAGGAAGTATCACTGATTGCCTTCTTGAAGGTGTCTAGTAATAGACTGCTGCAGGCTCCTAACGGGAGGGCGTATAGTAACAGTCTTTTGGACTAAAAAAGTTCATTGCGTATAATTGTCTTTGCACAACGTTTCAATGGCACAGCCATTTTTATCAAATGCCTCAATGTTTATGCCCATCACTAAGGAAACTACCTTATGACGTCATAGTTGTCATTTTGACGTCATAATTTCCTGTACAAATCTCTTATTCATTTTTATTCAATTGAATACAATTATTAAAATATGAAAATCGATCGATTATCAAACAATTATAATTGCTTTTGAAATTAAATATTGAATGACGTACTACAGTAGGAAATAGCTGAGTAATAGAAGGACCATGTTTTAATTTTTTTAAACGTGGGTGACGTACGTGTCCCTGTTTCTGGCTAAACATGACCAATAGTAAAATCAAAAAGTAATATTTCATTCGAATTTTGTAAAATTGCAAGAAATCATTAGATCAATAACAGTATTATTCCATGTACCTGATTCTAAAGGGTACGGGTTACGGGGTTCAGGGTAATAGAATCAGGTACATGTTCTTTTCTATTTCCCTGGAGCATCGTGCACGGTTTGCATAGTGCGTTCATATTTCTTGCTTCGCCCCCTTTTTAGTTATTGTTTTGAAGATTCATCAGAATGTTTGTATTGCTCACTGGAGCTACTGAACTAGTACAGTAAGTGATACTAGATTTAGACGATACTGGTCTACTTTCCTCCGGAGGCCTGGTTCCGTTATCGATTGACGATAGCGTGTGTTTATAAAAAGCCTGCATGCAAGTTTTATAAAAACAAAAATCGTGTTATCTATCTGGGAGATTTATAACTAAATATAAACACTGACGCCTAATAATTTACCTTAGATCTTTACATATGTACATGTACCTTCCTTAACTACTTCAAGGGGGGGGGGCTGAAAACGAGAACACAGAGGAAATGGACGAATTTCCGACAAGGATAGGAAACGACAACAAGGAAATTGACAAGATCAATCGTATCATTTTCATATCAATTAAATTAAAACAAAATCAAAACTGACATTAGTCTTAAAAGACAAACCCAGCACATTAAATGCCATAATGGACATTCTGCGTCGGCGGTGACCATCCGTCAGAGTGAGCTTGATCATTGATCGAAGATGGTCCTGTATTGCTCCGTAGACCGATAATGCCGACATCAGTCGGGGGAGCTCTCAACCAACACAGAGAGCACAAGTTCGCGAGGCGGGACATGATCACATGGATTCAATCCCGGTAAATTGGTCTGTAGTATATCAAACATTACGGCGAAATTTCATTACTCTTGTTATTGGCTTATATTTTTTACTGGTTAAATTCTCTTTGTTTGTAAATCAATGGAATGGCAATGTCGATGTAACTAATTGAAAGCAGGCAGCGCAGATAAAATGTCTATGTATTCCTTACTCGAAATCTAGGTGTGTGTATCTTGCACGGAATAAAAAGGTATCTTCATGAGCGTTATTTAAAAGGTCTGTCTCAAGGGGACCGTTTCACTCTCTAACACGCTATTAACGCCAGAAGAAGGGATCGGATCTAATTAAAACCTAATCGACACAGCATAACAAGTGCGTTCTCATTTGGCCCACAACAGGGTGCAGGATACACTTACTCTAACGTACTCTTCTGTAATAGACACACGAATGATAATCTACTGTGCAACATTGTGTAAACACAAATGTTTTGTTTTTCTGTAAAGTGTTGATTTTCGCATAAAGCAAAAATTAAAATAATGAAAAACACGCAGCAACAGAAGATTCGCAAACAGAACAAACGAGGATATTAACAGCGAGCTATAGCACAATCTTTGATTGATTGCGTTATAAATGAAAAAACATTCAATGCAGTGCAGTGCAGTTGGAAAACAGACAAGTGTGATGTACGTTCTCATGAGGCTGCTAGAGAGAGTCGACTGGATACCGCACACTGATTTCGTTAGATGGCAATCTAATTGACACAGATTAGTTTTCGATTGCTCAAGTTAAGCGTGATTAGAATGCTTTTACTCAAACTGGACGGAGGCGATATATTAATCGATACTTTTAACGCTGGCGGTTATTTAAATCGAGCTACCCGACATTCCAAAACAAAGAATATGTTTCCCCATAATATCAAGAACAACCCAAGCTTGCAGACGACAGGGTTTAACACTACCATTTAACGTTTAATTACACGTGTTGATCAATACGTAGTTATTAGGCTATTCCTGGAATACCGATTTGTCGTTTTGGCATTTGACAGATGTGCGCTTTCATTAACGTCATTGTGAGTGCTGATTTTTTTGTTAACGTATTTCAAAATCTATGGATATAGACGCCTGCAAGAACCACGTCATTTAGGAGTATGTCTGACCGTATAAAAGGGAGCACAAATGCCTCTCTGAAGAAGAGGACTATACTGTAGCGACGTTGACTCGTAGTCGATCCCGTGACAAAGATTATTCGGTCGTCAGCACAAGCTTCCAAAGATCAATAGCAGAGAGAAAATGCATGCTGTACTGGTAAATATGATCCCCCAAAACCGTATGCTGGATTAGCTGGCCAACCTCTACTCAACGGAACATGTTGTTTTTACGCCAGAAATGTATATAGGTGTAGGTCGGTGAGTATATGTATAAACTTGAACCTCAGGCAGTGAACGAACAAAACGTACAAGTATTGAAAAGAACTATACAGTGTTCAAGCACGGATTCATCTGTGATTGTATGACGATGCAAATTTGGAGTGTGTACCCCAGTGTTCTATGTACCGGAAGGTCAGCCGTGGGAATACGCCCATTTAGCCAATGTCGAGTATGTACTGTCATATAGACATATTTATAACCGGTTAACTAATAAATAGTGAAAAACGGATTGGCTAGATTTGTTTGAGTGTTAGCCTGCTTTTATTTGGATTGTGAATTGACAAGCTTTGAAAAAACAAACCTTGGAGATGGTTCTGAAAAAAACAGATACCGGATGTTATTTATGACAGTGTTCAGTGATGACGATTGGTCAGTCTATTTAGACTAGGTTCTGTGATGACCAGTGGGCGATGATACTGTGGATACGTTATGCAGCCAGTGTCTTATCTCTCGCTTTAGGTACGTACACATATTTAAAACTTATACCAAATTCATAGTATATGTTCTGCATAAGATTTTACTATTTGAATACATAGCACAATACTAATTATTCTACTGAATTGTCCGGATATAGTTGTGCAAAGACCGTTGTCTTATATCTATACAATGTTGAATATACTTTCGAAGAGAATAATTATCATGTTTATAATAAGTAACAAAACTTATCATAGCTATTTTAATGTAAGTAGTACCTGTCGAGTTTATATCGAGTAAGTCATTGCTCGTTTTATAGTCATATAATCGGAAGGAGTGATCATCATGCTGATACTGAGTTCAAAACTCGTATTATTGTAGTAATTGTCGAGTTTATATCGAATACAAATTGTTCGTTTTATTAAAAAGAGTGCTTTTCGTACGTATATTGAATACAATAGCCATTTCTGAATAGACAATACTTTGTATGGTTATACTGAGTGAAGAAATCATTGTTTTAGCTAACTTTCAATTGCACGTAGGTCTCCCGTTTGTATTTTGAGTACACAACTGGTTGTAATGGCAACAGTGTAACAAATACAAGACATAAGAAGTTTAGATCTAGAATGCCTTTACATAAACGTTAGCATGTAGTCTTTCTGAGTCGATTTGAACTGATCCGTAGCATCTTAGCGCCCCTATTCTACTAATTAGCTATAATGGTTATAGCAGGGCAGGATTAAAGGACCCTTTAGTGCCAATGTGTGTTCAATTGTTTCCTACTCAGAATACAAAGGAACATTCCAGTTTGTTGGTACAATCAATCTTCCTTCTATAGATGTGCTTGGTATAAAATGTAAGATTCCTACATAGATAGATATTCGTATACATTCTGTAACTAGTATATATATATATAACTATATTAAATCCTTATTCCTCTTTTATGACCTACACTAAACGTCTGACTCATGTTCATATAGAATATCGTTTGCTGTTATGCTATTTATAATAGAGATACCATTATCATGTTTTATCGAGTGGTCCACAACTATGTTATCGGCAAAAGGATACCGCAAGAGAGTAAGATTACATATGCTTCAAGTTACTGCAAAAACTAAAACGCATGTGTTGTAACAAAATTAGGTTCAAAGTCGTCTTTTTATCGTTTTGAAGTAAATTTTATATTAAGTTTGTTAGCAATACACTTAGAGATTCGATTTTCTGCTTAAAACCTGAATAGTTTCATATTTGACTAAACGTTATGTTTCTTTACCAAAATCTTGCTAATTAAATTAGTATATAGAAATATAGGGACAGATAACCATACTCGTACGTGGTTTGACCTCCAAACCTGTCTATATTGGCGGATAAAGGTCATATACACGTTATACATTTGGCTTCAAGACATCAGCATATGTTTCCTACAGAAATCAATTATCATCCACAAATCACGGTAAGGGGTGTTTGTATGTACCAGCCATTTGCCCGTATACCACCGCACGTGTGCACTAGCCAACATTGTGTGTGTGTGTGTGTGTGAGTGTCTATATTTAAGGACAATCAATATACATTAAGCAAAGTAGAGTTTTATTTTATAGTAATACTAAACATGAATTGCAAGAAGTGTAATTGCTTATATCATATTTACATTATGGCTGACAAATTATCATGAGATCGACAATTATACCATAACCAAGAATAGGCCCTCCGTCAGCGGAAAGTATAGTTCACATTTGCACGTGGTTAAGGCTTATCTTGGTTAAGGGACACTTCTCTGGAGCACACTCAGTTGATAAACGGTAATTACTAGTGGCGTCGTCTTTAATTAGGTGGAGATTTCTGTTTTAGAAATCTGGGGACTAAAATGAATTACTCGACCGATAAAAATCTGTAGTTTTGTAATAAAATGCCTCTCTAAATTTCCATAACCCAATATTGTAAGACTAGAGAATTGGAACAACGCATGAAAGTCGCAGAGACCTGAACATGAAACACTGTGTCCACTGTAATTGATCTAGGATCTCAATAATCCAATGTAAACATGGACTACACGTTATGCAAGCAGGTATAATCAAATCCAAAGAATACATTGTTGTTTTAAAATGAGACTGACAAAACAAATCAATAGCTTTAGATATTTTGCAAAAGAAATGTTAAAACAGCTATAATGTTATTTGTTGTCGGAGAGCCACTTCGATCACACAACAAAAAAACATGTTTGTGTCTATGTAGAAAATTCGGAAGTCCTGGTGATTCGTCCGCGTTTCATATATATATATATATATATATATATATATATATATATATANATTGATTAGTAGTCTACGATGATAAATACAATGTTGATTTTATATAAAAACTCCACGCAGATAACCGATTGACCGCCGTTACTACAATGTATATAGCGCCTTTCAGAATCCGAATGGCTGTATCGTTGTCTAAAACGCAACAGGGATCCTATATAAGGAGGCTTGCTTGGCTGTCGGCTGTCGAAGGATTGGTCTAGAGATGTTTCTCGATGTGTATTTGCATTGCAGCTAGAAACATTGGAACTACCACGTACATAGCACAGCGACATGAGACTGAAATAGATGTATAGATTTCCGATATTTTTTAACAGTTTATAAATAAACGATAATAAATCACGTTTATGGAGAAATTCCGGGAATGTTTCGTATTTCAGATAAGACGATTTTGATCTCTCTCCGGAGATACAGCCTTAGGCCAGACTCAACAAACTTATCGCTGTCGTTTTTCAGAGTTACAAACCAAGGTCTATTTTTTTAAATCGATTTTACGCCAGCAATTATTTAAAATTGATTTTATTTTTCAATTACGGTAATCTAATAGTAAACTATTGTTAATTATATACAGTACGGACGGTTATCGATTCATTCTTTTAATTATTTTAAGCTTCTGCTTAGCAATAAGTTAATGTTTGTTTCGCTTTACTTATCAATAGTATATCACCAAACATCCTACATTAAATGACAGATATCTGTAAGAAACTTACAATACCCATTGCGCATGACATTTAGGGAAAACTATCAAAAAATCAATATGCGTCGTTATAAGGTTTTTTTGGACTCTAAATAATTAACAAATTAATATATTACATATATATATATGCAATCGGATTTATTGAAACAAAAGTGTAAACAAAACAGTGATACAAAATTTAAAATATAAGAAACTAGGACAGGCCATTAGATAAAGGTTAAAATAATGACCTTAAATTTACTGTAAGAATAAGAGCATGCGTTCCAGAAGGATAAGCGTCTTTGCGGCATTGAAGACTACCGTTACGTAAATCTACGTCAAATTCAATTATATCGAAAAGTCAAAACTGGGGTATTGACAAAAAAAAATAATATATACTAATGACAATAAAAAACGCATAACTTTAATATCTCACAAAAGCAAACTCCCGATAAGATCATAATAGCAACCATACACTATGCTCATTTTCTTCATCAATCTCTCTCTCTAGAATCATTTTGTTGTAAGCGTGACAGTCAGCAGACGATATCGATCACAAAAATTATCATATTCAGAGCTTGCCCATCCACATCGAACCAACTGCCACAAATAGGCATGTTCCTCTCGGGTAAGGGGAAGTGATCGGAAAAACGAAATCGACACATACAACCTAGTAGTAAACTGCCTTGTTCAAAGCTAAGGAACTTGGCATTAAACAGAATTATAAGTCGAAAAACGATAGAAAGCTTAGAAAGCAGGAATAGAAAATATATTATTATGTTCCCTAAAGACGGAGGCAAAGTTAGGGTTTTCAGAGGGACAGGTATACATTGCGCAAGAAAAATCTCCTTCTTCAGAAATAATTTGATACGGTTTTCGCTTTGTCTGTGTTTTATGACATGAGTTTTATTTTATTTGTGTGGGTTTAAATTGGATTTTATTAGCCCAGCATCTTTTGGGAGGGATCCCAGGGTTAGGGTGCCAAAGGTTTATCATACGTTTTAGGTTGAACAAATACAAATGTATTGACTCTCTCCAAATAACATTTATATAATGGTTTAAAATCAACACACAAACGACGTTTATGATTTGTATAAGTACATCTGCATTATAGTTTGCTCGTACACTTGTATTTCAATTTGTTTCTTTCCATCGGTAATTGTGTGAATATCTGTATTTATATGTGACTAAAATTACTTACTGATAGTGGATATTGACATATAAAGGATTGGGCTCGCTATCACCTTGTAATCGAGATATTCATGCGTTTGTATTTTTTATTCAATAGCAATCAAGGACATGAACCTTAAATGTTAGCATGGTAGTCATCTTGATATGATAGCATTTCTATTCAAAGACAAAAGATAGGTAAAAAACACTTACGAAAGTTACATTTCAATGCGGTCTGTAGCAATTTGTTTTCACCTTACAACATACGAGTACCCATAATAAAACTAAGAAATGTTCCGGTGTAAATGTTCCCTTGATGTTTGTAGGCTACGCTCCGGACTGTTGGTGTGGGTTTATAATTGCTTTCCTTTTATTTCGATGTCTCCTTGGTTTCCTGTGTTGTCCTATAGCATCGATTTTGAACTCTGATTTTGTCTTAATGTGTTGACGTGGAGGTATGTCTCGTTTTAGTGTGTTGACGTTGTGTTATAGTTTATGCTGATGCGTTGGCGGTAAGATATATTTTGTCGAGGTGCTCCATATCTAACACTTTAGTGCCCTTAGTATATAAAGCCTAACCGATTCTACAATCCTATAGGTATGATCCCGATTTGCAATGCTGGTAGGTTGTTACACTTTATGTAGAGGTTTTACTCATTTACCCCTGACATTTCATAATGACTAATATTCCAACCTTTGAATTGGAAGAGTTCAATGTGTCTTCAGGGTTGATTGAGTTAAAACGTTAACTGTTCTCGGCCAGTAGGTCAGCGTACCGCTATCATTGCTGCTATCTCCTTTCACCGTTTAACTTTCTTATGTCTATCGTAAATCGTACCAACTAGCATGCTTCCACTGGCACCTTAGCCGTTTCTAATAGCAACGTTTAATAGTAA